AAAGAAGATATTCATCCCTCTCTGAAAGTTAAATATTTTCATTTCATGGCACTGATCAATATGAAATCATCCATCGTTCTCTCCAGCAATCCCCATTTTCCTTCCACAAAAGCTGAGCTTTCTGCTCACAGATCCTCCTCTTTCAGACTCCATTCTCTGCCTACTGCTAACAAATGGATCATTTCTGACAAAAGCCCTTCCACCCCTTTCACAAACTCTGTAAGTCATTTCCTTATAATCTTACTGTGTTATATGCACTGTTTCTTTATAGCCTTGAGTTTTTAACTTTTATTCTTCCATGGCAGGATCACCTCTGCCATAATCTGGAAGGAGAGCTGAAACTGTACCAGAACGCTCTTAAGAATGTGGGTGAAAATTCATTGAAAGGTCTTCACATGGTTGATGCTATGCATCGCCTGAACATCGCTTACCACTTCCAAGAAGAAATTAACGAATTCCTAGCAGCCCAACACACGATCTCCAGAACTTATGGAAGTGGCTATGGTCATGATCATCTTCATGAGGTTGCTCTTCGCTTCCGCCTTCTGAGGCAGCAAGGTCACTATGTACCTGCAGGTGGGAACCGAAAACACAACACACATGATATATATGAAAGACTGATAACATGGTTTTCCTTCTGGTTGCAGAGGTGTTTGAGAAGTTTACAGGAAAGGAGGGAAAGTTTAACCAGAAGGTAGGTGAAGATATCAAGGGAATGATAGATTTATATGAAGCTTCACAGTTAAGAATGGAAGGAGAAGCCATACTTGATGAAGCTGAACAATTTGGCGGGAAGATTCTCAAAGAAAGAAGTGCTCATCTCAGCGTTGATAAAGCTGAGTTTGTGAGGAGAACTTTGGAGCAACCTTTTCACAGAAGTCTGCCGATTTTCACTTCCAGAAACTTCTTTGAAGGCAGCCATGGAATGAATGGATGGGTCAATGCCTTACAAGATGTGGCCAAAATGAACTTCAATTTGCTCCAATCCGCTTACCAAACGGAGATATTCATATTTCCAAGTACGCTTTTATATGAAATACTTCAAAAATCCATTTTATAAATTTTCGTGTCAATATATTCGTCAATTATATTTAAACTTTTTTTCTTCCAGATGGTGGACTGAACTCGGTTTAGCTAACGAGTTGAAGTATGCAAGAAACCAACCACTGAAATGGTACATTTGGTCATTGGCATGCTTAACAGATCCATCCTTTTCAGAAGAAAGGGTCGAGCTCACGAAACCAATCTCCTTCATCTACCTAATGGATGACATATTTGATATCTATGGGACCCTTGAAGAATTAACTCTTTTCACAAAAGCTGTTACCAGGTTACA